GGGAGGGTGTGTTGAAAAGTGTTGATCAAAGGCTCTGTGTGTGAGGGGCAGAAGGAGGAAGAGAGATGGGGACACACATGTGTGCTGGCTTGCCCAAAAGTACAAAGGACTGAAAGACAGAGTAAAAGACAGGATAAAAGAGAGACAGAAAGAGATAAAGAAAGAGAGAGAAAGAATCAGCAAGGCAGAAAGAGACAGACGACAGACTAAGAGAGAGAGACAGACACAGAGAGGCTGAGACACAGAGGAAAGCAAAAATAGCGAGAGACTGAAAAACAAAGAGACTGGAGACGGAACACAAGGACGCTAGCAAATGATAAAAAAAAAGAGAGACGGAATAGAGATCACGGACAGAGACGAGGAGGCAGAGACAGAGAGAAGAGGGGAAACAGACTGAGACTAGAAAGAGTCACATTTATTCATTGATTCCATATTTATTGAGCACCTAGCCACGGGCAGGCGCAGTGTGAGGAACAGAGCAACACAAGGAGACACAAATGATAGGATGGAGAGGCAACAATAAAGACGGAAACTGAGACGGAGACCAAGGGAGGCAGAGAGCGCAGAGACACAGAGACTGAGGGAAGGACTCAGAGATAGGAAAGTGGCAAAGACAAAAGGCCTACAGGCCTAGAGGGCAGGACCAGTGGGGGCCAGAAGGTAGCCTGGAGGAGGGGCAGGACCAGGGGACCTGCCGGAGGAGCTCTCACTCCGCAGCCTCACCTCCAGCTGTGCTGCCTCCACTTCCCCCACAGCAGCCTGACAACCCTCCTCTGCCTCTGCTCTTTCCTGCAGGCTCTGGAAGATGCTCTGACTGCTGACAGCTCCTGCTCTCCTCCTCCTGCCCCAGGTTTCTCTGCCTGAACCCCAGGTCAGGATGGAGCCCAGCTCAACCCGGAATAGGGGGATGTAGGCAATAGAAAGGTATAGAACACTTCCTCTTCACCCAGAGACCACCTTAAAACCATCTTTGGGTCTCACAGAGCCCCCAGAAAGATAGGGAAAGGCTCACACATAGGGAGAAGGGAAGGGATAGTGCGAATCGAGCTTCCAAAATAGCCCCTTCCTTCTGAGGTCTATGTACCAGCCCCCAATATCCCGAACCTGCCTGAAATCTGGAACTGAAAAAGAAGCCATTTGTAGCAAATGCTGAGCCCTCCCCCATCTCCTCCCACGTCATCACTGAGAAAATGCTGCAGAGAAGAGGGTGGGCTGGAGAGGCAGTCACCTACCCGCTGGTGCCGGGTCTCTGGGCCTGAGAGAAACGCCAGTCCGTGTTGGGTGGGGCTTGCTGTGGAGAAAACAGAGGGAAAGGGGCTGAGTACCCTTGAGAAGTCAGAATGTCACCCGACCCCTGGGATGGGCCTGGAGGGAAGAAGGGGAGTGGATTGGACACAGAGAAGAAAATGGGGTGAGATGGGGGAGGGGTAGACTCATCTTCAAAGACAAATATACCTCAAGTCTCAGAGGCCTGAGGTACCAGAAACAAAGAGATAAGGTAACATTTATCTGACCACAGTGAGCAAACCTAGATTCCTTTGCTAAAGAAACGGACTCTTCTTCCCTGCCCCCAGACTCAGAACTTCTAAATTGAGATTCAAGGGCTGAAAGCGTCAGCCCTTCTGTGGAACAGAGTCACGGGGAGTGGGGGTGGGGGAGTGGTGAAGAGAGTCCCCCAGAAGTGGCAGAAGAGGCTTTTAGATGAGAATTCCACAAGCCCTAGAAAAAATTGATTCAGCTCCTCAGCTGGGAACAAAGCATCCTCTGCAGCAAGATGGCTGCTGCTCTGGGTAACCCTTTTGGTGCCACATTGTGCTGTAACACATTCAAGAGGGATACCTCCTCCAGGCCCTTGGCAATCAAGGATCCCTTCCCACAGCTAAACACATTATTAATTTAGGAGTCATGCCAGACTGGGCCTTTGCAGAGCATCCAAGCCCCAGGACACTTCTCACCCCCAGAACTCCAGGCCAGACAATGACTGTGACTAAGGAGGAGAACAAGGCCCCTCTGTTTGGGACAGAGAAAACTGCTAGATGGAACTCAGCAGAGATCAAGCTCCCACAGCCTCCAAGCAGAGCCAGCGAAGTCTCCAGGGCTCCCAAGGGGCTGATCTGTAGCCATCTCCCACCTGGAGGAAGGTGTAGGATGCTGGCCAGCCACTTCACTACTGACTCCCTCCCAGCCTTTCCAAGGGTGTATTATCCCACCGCACACTCTCATCGAGCAGTCCTAGAGCCATCTCCTCACTGCTACTGGGATGTGCGAGTAATTAATTCTCATACTCCCAGAAGCAGAGAAAGAGGTGTGAGCATCTCCGGTTACACTGGGGAGAAGGAAGACCCATGGCTGCCAAATGACTCATTCTAAGGCTCACAGGTGGCAGTGATATGAGCAGAACCCAGAAACTTAGCATCCCAGGTGCAACAGGAGTCACCAACACCATTCTGGGGCTGCTGTGGGGAAGGGCACAAGGACGTCCAGCTTTCAGCCGCTGTATTCGCAGCCACAACCGAATCTACAAGGAGATAGATGCAGGTACCCTGATAGATTGGAGGAGAGGAGCTGGGCACAATTCACAATCTGCATAAGGACGACGGGTCCGAGTTCGTTCAGTTAGGGCTGCTCAAGGATAAGAAGCCCCAGAAGACTTTTCTCCATTTGTAAGACCCTGACGGGGAAAGAACCGAACCTCTGCCCCGATCCCAGCAGATGCAAATCATCTCTGCTCTCCTCTGGGTTTCCAAGTGCCAAGTGCCAAGTGATTGAAACACAAATCCTGGGGTTAAACAGATCTGAATTACGTCTTCTCTATCACGTACCCTGTGAACTTGAGCAAGTCACTCCACCTCCGTGACACTGTCGTGAGGTGGGGATGCTAGTATCCATCCAACCAAAGTGTTGGCAAGAGCAAAAGAGAGTTGAGGTTCTCAGAGGAGGTGGGTATGTAGTGAGCTCTCTCAGTCAACTATTAGAATCGCATGGGGGGGGCGTTGTTTCAAAATATAATTCTGATTGGATAGGGGGAGGGTGGGGCATAGATATTTTGAATAAAAACTTAAGTGGTGGCAACTTGTGCTTTTTACTATTATAGTTTCGCCGTAAATGAGGACACCCTGGCACCTGGCAAAGGCTGCGTAGCTTTCCATTAGCCAGAGAAGGAAGGACATGGCAGTCTCAGATACTTTAGTCACCCTCAAAGCCCCGGCCCTAGATCGTTAGGCACGTTGTGGTCACGACGGAGCCAAAAGCCTACCTCTGCGCGTCCAGAGACCGGTGCGCGAGGCTCCCACTTCCCGCGGGAGGACAGGCCCACGGGCGCCACCGAGGTCCCAGGCTGCTAGTCCTATAGCTAGCTGCCTGCTCACTCGCCCCAGGGCAGCTCATCCTGCCCGGCCCAGGCTTCTGGGCTGAAGGCGCTGCCACCCTCCCGCTCGCTCAGAGCCCCGGGTCCAGCGGGACTGGCCGGCCCGTGGGTCATAGAGTCCCGCCTGGCCCGCGCTCAGAGTAGCTCCCACGCTCCAGACGCCGCAGCCGGCCTCAGGCTCTCCTGGAGACTAGGGGTCCGGCCCTGGGAGCGGGTAGGAGGAGGCTCCTGAGTCCTTGCGGGACTCTTGACCTGGGACTGTCGCCAGGGCCCGCAGTCAGCGGCGAGTACCTCTGAGGCTGGCAGCGGGGTGGAAGGAAGCTGTGAGAGTGACCGGGCAGCGAGCGCGGGCTGTGGAAGGGGGTGTCTGTGCAAGCTCAAGTGTGAAGGCGTGTGCGTGCAGGTGAGCGGGGCTGTGTGGCCCGTGGGTGCGATCTGCTGGTTGGACACTAGGGAGCCCTGCGCCGACGGCTCTGTCCTGCCTACAGATGCGTTTGTTTGGTGTGGGAATAAGGATGGTTGAGAATAACAGCGAAGTCCCAGATCCAGAGAGTGGGGAGAAACGTAAGAGGAAACCTAAAGAGCGGCGGAAGGACGAGCGCGCGGGCGCCGGAGCCCAGGAGGCTGGCTGCGGGCGAGGCCCCATGACTGCTCTCGCCCTGGACCCCCGACCCCTGCGGAAGTCGCTGGCAAGATTGCCCCGCCCCAGCTTTTTCAGAGTGTGGGGGTGGGGTCGGTCCTATCCCTCCTCGGCCACAATCCACCACCTCCTGAGGCTTATAGCCCCTTCCCTGCCCCCGCGACACCTGTGGTCCCGCGCAACAGTCCAAACGGTCCTGACAATCGGGTGGAGCGCAGCTAGCTGCCGAGCTCAACCGAGATGAGTGGATACAAGTTCAAAGTCCCTTAGGTGGACGGGCGGCTTCTCCATTGCCGCCCCCAGGTCGCGCCGAGCCCCTCACCTGGCTCCGCTCTCGCAGCGTGTTAGAGCGGGACCGGAAGGCGTCAGGCTCCAGCGCCAGAGCTGAGGGCTGCTGGACACTGAGGGGCCTTAGAAAAGTGAAGTCACTGCCATCCGAGGCTGGCGAAAAGCACGTCCTGTAGCAATGGCTCTGCGAGTCTGCGGGCCGCAGCGTCACCTCCATGTACTTGAGCGTGCCGTCTGAGCTCACCTGTAGGTTGGGACTAGACTGCTTATAGTAGTCTCGGGAGGGTGAGTCCTGGCGCCTGCAACACTGACCCCCACCCCCATCCCCATCTGCGTGCCCCCGAAGGCACTTAGCTGACAGAAAGGTGAAGGTGACTAAGGATAAGAGACTGATGGCTGCGAGAGCCACAATAAGGTAAAGGGTAAGGTCTGAACGCTCAGGAGGGTGTGCGAGGAAGTCGCTGGATTTGGGCATTTCCTCAGGGTCCTCATCCTCCAGAACCAGCAGCACTGTGGCTGTAGAGGACAGTGAAGGGTCACCATTGTCCCTCACCAGGACTACCACCTGTTGGGTGTCAGAGTCATCCTCCAGTAAGGCCCGGGCTGTGCGCACCTCACCAGTGTGTGCAGACACCAGGAATAATCCTGGGGCTGTGGACTGTGGCAGCAGTGCATAGGAGAGCCATGCATTGTGGCCTGCGTCAGCATCCACAGCCGTCACCTTGGTGACCAAGGAGCCAGGAGGTGCAGAGCGAGGGAGACGCTGGGGGACTGAGAATTCCTGGCCGGGTCTTGGGTGCAGCACCGCTGGGGCATTATCATTCTGGTCCAGGACAAACACATGCAGAGATGTGTTGGCATGCAGCGGGGGAGAGCCAGAGTCTCGAACCCCCACCATGATCTGCAGCATCTGCAACAATTCATAGTCAAAGGTGCGCTGGGCAAAGACCCGCCCATCCTCAGGGTTGACATACACAAAGGAGGAGGCTGGTGCTCCCTGAATCTGATTCCCTAGAATGGAGTAGGTGAGACGGGCATTATTCCCAGTGTCTGGATCAGAAGCAGTCACAGTGCAGAGAAGGGAGCCTGGAGGCCGATTTTCTGGGATGTAAGCAGTATAGAGCTGCTGAGTGAAGAAAGGTGCATTGTCATTAACATCCGAAATGTTGAGCCTGATGGTAAGGTGTGTGTGCAGGGGAGGTGAGCCTGCATCACTGGCCAGCAGCTCAATGATATAGTGGGATGTAGTCTCACGGTCCAAGGGCTGGCTGGTTAGCAGTGAGTAGTGGTTCTCAGAAGGCTTAATCTGAAATGGCAGGTCCAGAGAGATATCAAGGCTCACTTCACCATTTCTCCCCGAGTCTCGGTCCCGCACATTAAACAATCCCACTACCGTGCCCACTGGTGTGCTCTCCAGGATTGGGTTGACCAAAGAGGCCAGTAGTACCTCTGGGGCATTGTCATTGACATCCCCTACATCCACTTGAATCATACAGTGGCCTTCCATGGCTGGCTGACCCTGGTCACGGGCTCTTGCATGAATTTCATAGAAACTTGACTCCTCAAAGTCTATGGGACCCAACACATGGATTGCTCCACTGCTAGGGTGTAGGCCAAAGAGATTCCGCACTGCCTCAGATGTATGGTCTCCAAAAGAATAGTCTAGTTGGCCATTGGTGCCCTCGTCCGGATCAGTGGCATTGAGGCGGAGCAGCAGTGTACCTGTGGGTGCATTCTCTGGGAGGCCCACACGTAGAACTGAGGACTGGAAGGTTGGAGCATTATCATTGATGTCCAGCACAGTGACAGAGATAAGGGTGGTCCCTGAGCGGGCCGGGATACCCCCATCTACAGCAGTGAGCACCAACTGATGTCTTGCCTGGGCTTCACGGTCCAGCTGCTGCTCTAGCACCAGCTCTGGGAACAGCTTCCCATCCTTGAGGGTCTTCACATTCAGACTGAAGTGGTTGTTGGGGCTCAGAGTGTAGAAGCTCACAGTATTCGTGCCCACGTCTGGATCCTGGGCACTATCCAGTGGGAATCGTGCCCCAAATGCAGCTGATTCTGAGATGCGTATCTCTCGCTCAGGGGTGGCAAAGCTGGGAGAGTTGTCATTGAGATCCAGGATCTCTACCTCCACGCGGATTAATTCCAGCGGGTGTTCGGTCACTACCTGCACCGGCAGCAGGCAGCTGGTGCTGGCTCCACACAGGCTCTCTCGGTCAATCTTTTGATTTACTGCCAGAGCACCACTCATCAAGCTCAGGGAAAAATAGTGCCCATTCTCCTCAGAGCCCAATCGCAGTCGGCGGTTCAACAGGTCTGTCACCTTTAAGCCTAGATCCTGAGCAACATTCCCCACCAGCGTCCCCGGCTCAGACTCCTCCACCACTGAGTAACGAAGCTGCCCAGACACCCAGCCCCAGCAGCACAAGGACAACATGCACAGCACTTGCCATTTCCCAGCGAGCTGTGGGGGTGTCTTGGGCCCCATGACCCAGAAGTCCCTTCCTGGACACTGACTCTGTGTTGTCCTGTCTCCAAGGCAGACCCAGGGCTTGGAATGTGGCAGCTGAAATCTCTTGTGTCTCCTTCCAGCCTCTTAAAAACTGCTCCGAGGTTTGTCAGCCTGCAGCAGTTCTTCTTAGTCACCGAATGGCGGGGGTGGGGAGGGGGGAGGGAAATTGGATGGGAGTGGAGC